TCTCATTGAAACCCCAGGTAGCTGCCCGCTTGAATAGGTCTACTCGCTAGTGAGCATCAGATCAATTTTCAGTTATTGGTTTTCGTAGAGATATTTTTGTTGTGTTCTGACATTGATAATGTGTTGCTTTACGATGGGATTTTGTTTATGAGAATCAAGGTCATAATGACCTTGGATCCATCTTTTTGGGGATATTCTACATGATTTTTAGGTTCTCCTTATGGTTGACTTTGGTTGAATAGTGGTTGTTTTAAATTTGAGAAATGATTAGATTCCCATAGCTGCCTAATGACATTCATGAGGGAATTTTGAGTTTGTGATGTGTTATTATTGTTAAACAGTGCCTCAGATTTCATTGTAAATAACTGTCTTTCGGTTGTCATCAGGCCACATTGGGAATAAGTAACTCACGGAAATTTTTGACAGCTATACATTAGAACACAAAGATTTGTTTCCTGCTTTCAGAATATTACATGTTGGTCTCAGCCAAACGTCATTCTACGAAATAGGTTAGTGCACTGAGAAAGTTGAGCTTATTTCCTTCCTGAGCTAAGTTTGTCACATTCATTTATTTTCAAGTGTTGGTTTTGTTGGGATTTGGTTTGATTGCATGGAGGATTTAATCATGAGCTGACATCAGTTAGAGAACCACTGGAAAACCTGGGAGTACTGGACAGCTGTTTCGTCCTAGTTTGGGACTCCTCAGCAGTACGCACCCACCGGGGTTCCAAACCCAGGACCTTCTGGTTATAAGGCGAGCTCGTGGACCATTGAGCCAGTAACTCATCGAAGAAGACATTGCGAAGTGGTCGCGCTATGTCGTGAATTGGCAGAAGTTAGAATTCAAGAACCATTGGATCGGGTCCCAGTGGCTCAATGTTCTACGAGCTCGCCTTGTCACCAGAAGGTCCTGGGTTTGGAACCCCGGTGGGTGCGTACTGCTGAGGAGTCCCAAACTAGGACGAAACAGCTGTCCAGTACTCCCAGGTTTTCCAGTGGTTCTCTAACTGATGTCAGCTCATGATTAAAATCTCCATACATTCATTTATGTATTAATGACTATCTCGTTTACTCCTTCGTTTCCGTACAGGTACTCTGAATTCATAAGTACACTGAGTGTTGCATATTAACTGACAGAAAACTACCGTCTGAATAGTCTACTAAGAGTGTTGACAATTATTTGATTATGTGGTTGCCAAACTTTACCTTTAACTGTGTGTGTGACGTTATTCTAAATTTTGGCATTATCATTTGTCTTCATTTTTGGCTGATTTAATATTTTCTTATTGCTTCACTTAACCACTGAATATGGCTTGACTGTCGACTCGTAATGTGTGGTTTTACTAGTGAGATTTTAATGAATCAACTGAAGCTTACGCGAATGAGTGACAGGTTAACTTTGGGAAATCCGTCACATATTTTAAGTGATTGTCACAGACACAGTTATGATTCCATTTTGTTGGGAATATTGTCCTTGATTGTAGTTTGCTGAGTAATACGTATTTTGTTCAGTCGTCTGACGGTACTGTTGACTTAGATTTGAAATTTCTAACATAACTTATTACTTTTTTATATTATCACAAAGTGCATAATAAAGTTGAAACATATTTTTGGACTGTTAGAATATCATATTCGACTTAATGATTGTCAAGCTGCAGAAAAGAATGACAAATGTATTACAACAAAGTGCATTAATAAAGTTTAGAGTGAATGAGAAGTCGAAGAATGTCCAGTTGTGCATTTCAGTAATATGGTGAATAACTAACAAATTTTATTTGACACAAGAATTCCCCTTTATAAGCAGCTTCAACAAAGATAAAACAAACCATAATTGGTGCAGAATTATCAATCCATTTCATTTATATCGGTTCTAGTCTGTCAAGTTTTAATACAGTTCTTCATCATGATGAAGGAATCCGTCATCGAGTAAATGGAGAGTGTTGTGAGAAAGTTATAGTGAAACAAACAGAACATAAGGATATAAGTATAAAACTTGGGCACTGTGACTGCAGGGATTTAGTAGTAGGAATTAGGGTGGCATTTTAACCTACAAACTCACTCAGGGACAATCTGTGCAGGTTGAAGGACTCAGTTTAACCACTTAGACAAAATATAATTTACAAAATACCCTGCGATGACTGTGAGGTCAACTACATAGGTCAAATTAGTAAGTCAGGGGTAGTGAGATTGTCGTAACATAAGAATTTAGCTAAGGTAAGAATGATTGATCCTGAAAAGATAAGTAATTTAGAAAAAAGCTCAGCAATTGCACCGCATGTATGCATTAACACACAACCACAAAGTAGGGTGGGAGAGGGTTAAAATTCTAAAAAGTAATCTAAATAGGTAGAGAGAGAGGTTGATTACCGAATCCTTGTTCATCGAGTCTACACCCAACACATGCAATAGGAATGACTCATCACTCATACCTGAGATATGGAATATACTATTACCAATCAAATCATGTGAAAAATAATCGAACTATATAAATGAAGTTAGGAAGTCGTGTGAGTAGCTTGATATGATTATGAGCGAAAAATTGTGCTCGAAACGTCATCAGTAAACACTACTGTATAACACTGTGAGACTTTATCAAAATAAAAATTACCCATAATGGAATTAGGATAATGTACATTCAGAAATAATAATATGAGTGTTATTGATCAATTACTATCAGATGGGAAATAAGACGAGTGCTTTTATAGTCAAAATAAATAAGTAACTTGTTAGAATGTTGTGATGTACGTGAATTGAAATAGAATTTTGAGACTATTTATTATCCTCCTCTGATTTGACTGACTGGCGGTAATAATATCTTCCATATTTCTGGTATTTGCATTGATTCATTTCTGTTACATGTGTTGGGTGTAGACTCAATGAACCAGGCTGGATTCAGTAATCAACCTATCTCTCCACCTTCATGGATTACTTTTTAGAATTTTAACCCTCTCCCACCAGGCTATTGTGTGGTTGTTTGTTGATGCATGCAGCGCAGTTGTTGAGCTTTTTTTCTAAATTACTCATCTGTCTTCTCGGGGTCAGCCATTTTTACCTTAGCTAAAATCTTATGTTACGACAATCTGACTACCCCTGACCTACTAATCTGACCTATGTAGTTGACCTCACAGTCATTGCAGGGTATTTTGTAAATTATATTACTTTGTCTAATTGGGTCCACCGGGTTTTTAGGCCTACAGAACTTGTCCCATCTGAGTGAGTTGGTAGGCTTGAATGCCAACACCCTAATTCCTGCTTTATTGAGAATCCAACGAAGGGGTTTGTCTCAGATGTCCTCTCCTTATATGGTTTTAACAGTAGATGACTTATTTTCTCCCTTATTTATGTTATCACTACTAGTTTCACAATTATTTGTACTTTTCTTTTGGTCTTTTTCGATCTTCATAATGAATTTTATAGTAAAACGTTGTGTGAGTAGTGTCTTGATATGATTACGAGCGGTAATAATTTATTCTCAAAACTTCATCAGTTAATATTACTGTATAACAACACTGTGTGACTTATCAAAATAAAATCTTATCCATTATGGAGAACATACAGATTTCCTCAAATTATAAGCATATATATATATGCCCTATAAGAATAAAGTTACTTGTAAAAAATGATCAATTTTCATTGTTAGAGAGGTGATAAATCAGTGATAACGGTGTAATTGGCAACAAGAATCTCTGTCAACAACCCAAAAGCCGATTGCTGATTGCTCAAAAAAGGAGTATGAAAAAATGGACATGGATCGTCTATACGGTGAGGACAGCGTCGAATGATATCTCACGCAATATAGGGCATTATTTATTATTATTTTATCCTTTAGTTCCTAGAGGAACATAGGGCTTCAGCTGCGCACCTCTATTGCCTTCTGTTTTCTGCCAACTTTTTCACTCCACTCCAAGTCTGCCCACATATTTCATCTCCTCTTCACATGACCTCCTCCAAGTCACACTTGCACTGACGACCAACTCGCCGCTTCCCTTTCGTGTTCCACTCGAGCAATGGCTTGTCTGGTGTTATCACTTGATGGTTTCCTCAGAGTATGACCAATCCATCTAAACTTCTTCGTGCCTACTTGTTTCACTAACCATTCCTGGTTGGTTTGTTCACGGAGATCCCTACTGATGATCTTTTCTGGCCATCTGGTCTTGAGTATTGAGCGAAGACAACTGTTGATGAAGGTTTGAAGTTTGTTTGAGGTGCTCTTTATGACTTGCCAAGTCTCTGATCCGCATAGTGGCACTGACTGATTTCACATTGGAGTTGAAAATCCGGATCTTATTTATGATGCTGAGTGCTGTTGACTACCAGTTGAATCCAAATGAGTCGTTGGTGTGAGGGTGACATGGAAAAGATCGTATGGCGAGGAGGAGATGACAGATTATGGGTAATCGTGGAGGTAGTCGGCTGAAGAGGACAACGCCAAATACAACAAAGTGGAGATGTGTTGTTGAAGCCCTAGGTTACACTCAGGACCCAAGAGAATAGTATTAATAATAATAATAATAATTATCGATACCTAGAGCAAGAAATTTTATATGTCTTAGTGAACCAATTTGTGATCAGCATGTTTCAATGTCCTAATTTGCGCAAACACAAAACAACAGATTATATGTTGTTTTCACAAGGACTGATCTATTTCTGTGCAGGACGTCTTCTTCAAAGCCAATTAATACAGAATTGGATGGATTAAGCTGAAATGCATTTCTCTAATTCATTTATAATTTGATAATGATACAACTTTTGTTTTTATATCTTTGATTCTGACGGATTCAAAATTGTCAGATCATCTTAGATTAAAATCTGCTATACACTGAGATGACATGAATAAACAAGACAATATGACGATTTTCTAGGCAGTATTGTTTATCCTTCATGATTGTTTTCGTCTTACAGACTTTGACACCAACCTCATATTGAAATCTGATTTGTTTCTCTGTGCCACTAAAGAAGTATTTAAAGTGATAAAAACTGAACGTTTCTCTTGTTTTGCAGAAAATATGGTCTCCAGGATTGTGTTAGTTATCATAGCCTCTGTCTTCATTGTATGCGAATTCGTGCATGGTAAGTCTAACAAAATATTCTACTTGTTTTAAAGGTTAACTAAATCGTTTCTGATGTAAGGCATTCTTGTACTAAGGGAGGTATTGATTGTGTCAAATAAAACCAGATAAATCTGAGTTGTTCCTAGGGGGACATTGGGCTTCAAGCTAGAGGCTTGAAGTTTCTGTAGCAGTGGTGATTATTTTTACAGGATAGGGTTGCCAGCCTCATGCCCAACATTTACTCCTTACTAGCTTTATTTCCGGCTTAGCAAGGTAAAGGAGTGCGTCGGTAGGGGATTGAACCCTGAGACATGTGTATGGTCAGCGAGCATCCGAACCGCTGTGCCACTAACGCGTATATATATGGTATTTATGTTGTCTGTACGGTATACTTTCAGATGAGATGCAATCAGTTCTGAGTGATGTAATCTTTTTGAATCGTATATTTGTAATATTTTAGGAGGTAATTCAGGAGGTGAGTTAAGCATTGATTTAAATAATTGTGTTAACTTATTATTCACCAAGAAATACTATTTTTTATCAAGTTTGTGAATTAATATGGTGGTATATGGTAAGGATTCCGTATCTTTTCATCTCGTTTGCGATCTGGGCAGCTTTGCCAATCTCGTACATAATGCGGACGTTCCATGTCCCCACACAGACTTTTTCTTTTGGCGCAAAGGGATTCATCGTGCTGAAGATTCTGTTGCAACTTTGTTTACAGGGTGGAGGTGCTAGCCTCACGCCTGAGAAAGGAATTGTTACATTAAGATAAAGTTTAGAGAGAAGCGAACTTTTGCGTTGCTCCCTTTTAAATCGGAAAACAAGGGATGAAACAATCAGAACAACACCAGCAGAAGGAAAATAATTCACAGCAAAAAGGGCAAAAAACGACAACAACAATACAATACAACTACATGCAATACAGTTAAGCACAGTTAACTAAAATGATACCAAGACCATAGACTCACTGACTTGGGCCAACTTGAACATATAAATTCAACATTATATACAATTATAGATATGTGTTAGTGTTAAAAAGTCACATAAAAGGTCAAACTCTTTGTTATAGGTATTAGTAGTCAATTATATTATATCCACAAGTTTAGTGTTCGAAAGTAAACGGAATGCGATAAATTCCAGAACTTCGTGGTGAGATACAACAAAGAAATGAATGTTTTACGTATCTAAACAAAATGTGACGCACTAATCGAAAAGCGCGCTCAGTAGACAATGGAGATGCGCAGCTGAAGCCCTATGTTCCTTTAGGAATTAAAGGATACAATAATAATAATATATGGTGTGAACCATATCAAATATTTCCTAGATAATTTGTGTTCAAGTCTACTTGAATGTAGCTTTCTTCACTCACGTATACATACACTATTTTAGGTGTTGCGGATGGTGAGTAATACACTGATTTGAATGACTGTATTAATTTATCATTATCAGTTTTATCAGAGTAAAGTCTAGTCGGAATCATAGTAAGGTGGTTAGAATAGGGATTACGTCATTCCATATTAGTTTGTTTATTAAATGTATCACACAGTGAAACAGTAATATTTACTGAATGACTCAAGTTTCTAAGTCGTGTGATTACAATCAATGTAATTGTGAACAATAAATTTTGTTCGAAACGTCATCCAGTAAACAGTAATACTGTTTCACTGTGTGATACATCTAATGAGCAATCTAATATGTAATCACTTACTACCACAATGCCCAAGTTTCACACATATATTAAAGGGATTACATCAGATGATATATATATATATATATATATATATATATATATATATGTAGGACAGCAAATTTAAGCGAATAATATTGTTTTCAATCAGATCTCATCAGGCTTAACTCTAAACAATATAAGTTTACAAATAAAGATTCAAATATAAACCAATCATGGTGTTTTGTCTAATGGATCATAAGATGGTGAATATAAATTGTGCAATCGGTCATAATATTAGTAATTATAATAATATTAGTAATAATAATAATGGTCTTATGAATAATAAGGATGAAAAAGTGAGGCAAACTGTTAGAAAATTGAGCTACGGATTGTTTTGTCACATTTAATTGATAGTGGTCATGTAGTGGAGAAGAGGAAAGCATTCAAGTTTAATTTATCGCTTCCCACCGAATCCTTCCAAAAGACTTCGTATTCTTCTAGTGCACACAGGTGAGGTAGGCAATAGGCATTCGAACTATTAAGCCTAAACTGTGCATTCAAGAAAAGTTCGTACCCATAGACATTATCTCTCTCTTGGCCTATTCAGACACAACCAACTGATGATTTCTACACCACCCCCTACTTATATTTTCAACCCCTCTCTTATCATCCCTTAATCTTATCACATCTTCATTATAAACGTGTTTCATTTCCTTCCATTACAATCTAACATTACTTAATCGGTTCATTTGTTTTTCTTAGCTTTCATCGACTACTTCTACCTGAACAAACTACTGGTTTAATCATGCTGTTTTTCATTATTTTTGTCTTCACAGATTGGCTTACTTTTTCATCCTTATTATTGATAAGACCATTATTATTATTACTAATATCATTATTATTACAGTTACTACTATAATGACTTATTACAAAATTTATATTCACCATCGTATTATCCTACAGGCAAATCACCATTATTGGTTTATATTCGAATTTGTATTTGCAAAGTTATGTATATTAGAGTTGAGCCTGATAAGATCTGATTGAAAACAATATTGTTCGCTTAAATGTGTTGTTCTAAATTTTACTATGGGGATATTTAATATATAAATATATATACGTTATAGATATTCTGGTTATAGCAGATAGTTTTGAACAAGATCAGGGGCCTGTAGTTGAACTTATCTATATCTCCACATATCAACTTTTAGAATGCTGCCACGTATTAAACGTCTATATATTGCTGAATTAAGGCCTAATTACAGCAGTCTGATGTGATTGCATAGACTAAAAAGTTTCTATGGGCATCCGTTCTCAGGCATGTCTTTATTTCTTGAATCGATTTTATATAAATTTATCACATTTTCACTGAATAAAGATGACCTAAACTTTTAGATATGTTTTAGGTGACTTGCTTGACTGTATTTCACATATTACGAACCACCTTTCCAAAAGCATCATTGTGAATATGCTCTGGACCATCCTTCAGTTTAATTTTATGTGTAGCTAATTATGCGTGTACGTGTGGTCAAGTACCGCCTTATTATTCTTCTCTTGGGTACCGAAAGGGACATAAGGCTTTGGCGTCACATCTCAATTTCATTGTGTTCTTCAGAGTCCCCTTTAGCTGGTTCTACGATTGTCCATCAGCTCTCATCTCCTCCTTAAACAGTCTCTTCTGTGCTGTCCTCAGACTTTCAAGGTGTTGTTTCCGATTCGGGACCCACTCAAAGAACTATATGGCGTGTGATATAGTTCAGTGGTCTCCTCAACATGCGTCCGATCGATCTTCATTTTCTCCGGAATATTTTTTGATTTGGCAATAGATTCGTGGCTAGCTAGTTTCAAGAGTTTCTTGTTGCTAATTCTTTCCGGCCAGATGGCCATCAGTAAAGAGCTGATGAAGGTAGCTAATGATAATATTCTGTAGCAGTCTGTTAGGAATGCTTTTGGTGTCCCATTTAGAAGAACTGACTGAGCATTGATGTTGGAAATTCGAATTTTGTTTGCAGAAAATTTACAGATTAGTGAAAGTCTATATCGATCTTGTCATCCTAACTTTGACATCCTTATTTGTTCTGTTTGTAGTTGAAACACAATTCTGCTTAGATAAGTGAACGAAGGCAATACGTTCAAATTTCTCTCTCTCGTTGATACTGATTAGCGCTTGTTTTTGTTGGTCAAGTATCTGAATCCCTCCTGACTTCTCTACATCCACATGAACCCCTTATATTTGCCACCTCTTCTCATAAGTTGTTGATTTTCATCTGCAGACCTTCAAGTTTTTTCGACACTAGGCATGAAACATCTGAGAAGTCGAAATCTTACAAATTCTTCTCTTCAGCCCATCGTATCCATGCCTTTCCGTTTAACACAACCTACAGTATGGTCCAGTTCACGACATTTAGAAATATCATCCTAACTTCCCTTCAAACGCTTTGCTGAGTTTACTGCTTTGTGAATCAGCTGGGACATACAACAAGTGCGAGAGAACATGCGAACAGCACGAAAACGATTTATTCCAACTGGCGTGTGAACTAAGAGACAAAAGCACTCACAGTGTCGTGATCTGCATAAAAATCAATCTATCCTTGACATAATATCCTAAGGATGAAGTAAAATGAATTTGAAGTGAAATAGCTAACATTACGCCTAAGTAGACAGTTAACAGCTTCAGGAAGTGTTCGATAGAAATCTAACCTTGCATCTTAGTAAGTGAATTATTTCAACCATCTGAAATTCAACATTTGCTCACTGAAAATAATTACTATTATCAACAGACTACTGTAAGTACTAAGTATTTTGAACAGTATTCCATTCTGCTATGCTTTCAGACTGATATGAGAATTACAACCAGAATTTTTAGCCGTTTAAAAATAAACCATGTTTTTATTTGAAAATTTTGATTTGGTTGTGTTCTCTGAGATGGATAGTTAATTTAAGAAGCTTTCATCGCCCTGCTACTAGGCGACATCTCCCTTCAGTGCACACTTCAGCTTGTTGATGTGACCTTTTCGATGTCTCCACGAGCTTATTAATCATCTCCCTTAATGGGTGGCTCTAGAGGTGATCGGTTGTGTTTTGTGTGTTTTCCCGCATTCTAGGCTACTTGTATTGGAACTAATTGTTTCTTTAACCCCTTGTGTGTGAGGTTTCCTTCTTATCGGTAGGTAAATGTTGTGTATCCTGATGTGTCTATTGATTGACGATTCACTGGAATACCAGACAGGCTTCTAAAAATTCTCTAGCATTCTTGATGTTTCCTCTGTCTAATAATTGAACGTTGTCCCAATCAAAATGATATCTGTGGTCGTCTGTATGCAGCGATATGAGGGAGTGAATGCCATATCTTTTCACGGCTAGCTTATGTTTGTGCATTCAAAGACGAAAGGGACGTCCACTTTGGCCAATGTAGTGATTTCGCAGTTGTTACTAGTTATTTTGTAAATGATGTTGGTTTTATCTTCTTTCACTGTTGAGTCTTTTGGTTGGCATAGAACTGACTGAAGTGATTTTGTTGGTTTGTGTGCGGCGTCAATTCCTAAAGGTTTGAAGAGTCTCGCAGTGATTTCTAAGATATCGTTTATATATGGTACGAGGATTCTCATTGTGCTTTTCTTGAGGGCTTTTGGTTAAATAGGTCGGCTTGGGGGTATGTGTGTGTGTCAATCACTAGACACATCGAGATAGATAACATTTACCAACCGATAAGAAGGAAACCTCTCACACAAAGGTTCATAGTTCAAGTCAAGGCAACAATCAGTTCCAATACAAGTAGCCTAGAGGGTAGTAAAATACACAAAAGTAATGAATCACGTTCAACGTCACCCACAAGGAGAGACGAATGATAAACTCATGGAGAGAGCTAAAGGCTCACTTCAATTCAAATTGAAGTATGCGCTGAAGGAAGATGTCCCCTAGTAGCAGGGCGATGAAAGCTTCGCAAATTAACTATCCATCTGAGAGAACACAATCACATCAGAATCATCCACCTGGACTACAAATCTTCTCCATCATATATTATTCGAAAATCCGCTGGATCTTGTTGTTAAATCTAATGATCAATGAATACACTTTGTTGATGAAATATATTCTCATGCAAAATATGTATTAAATCTTTTACTGATTGAATTTCATTGTATATTATCAGCAATTCTGTGCTGCAAAAAGAAACACTTTGGAGAGTATCCTTCATTAGAAAGGGATTGTTATGCCTATTATTGAGAAAGATCTTAGACAGCGCAATATACTCACTGTACTATGCTTGGAAATATACAGTTACAAAATAACACTCTGACGTTATTAGAAAAGTGAGAACAAAATACAAACATAAATTGATCTGACTAATAGAAAAAATTTTACGAATCTTTTATAGCCGTTGAGGGATATCGTAAACGTAAGTGGAATTGGTTGAGTAATTAAGGTAACACTTTTGTGTCATTATTACTAGAAAATAATACATTCTTTCTAATCTTTATTAAGCATTATTATTATATTATTATTATATCCTTTAATTCCTAGAGGAACATAGGGCTTCAGCCAAACGTCTCCATTGCCTTCTGTTTTCTGCCAACTTTTTCACCCCGCTCCAAGTCTGCCCACATGTTTTCATCTCCTCTTCACATGACCTCCTCCAAGTCACCCCACCCTTGCACTGACGACCAACTCGCCGCCCGCTTCCCTTTCGGGTTCCACTCAAGCAATGGCTTGCCTAGTGATGTCACTTGATGGTTTCCCCAGAGTATGGCCAACCCATCTCCATTTCTTCCTGCTTATTTGTTTCACGATCGGTTCCTGGTTGGTTGGTTCGCTCATTCCCAGAGATCCCCGTCGCTGATCTCTTTTGGCCATCTGGTCTTGAGTATTAAGCGAAGACAAATGTTAATGACGGTCTGAAATTTGTTTGAGATGTTCTTTATGACTCGCCAAGTCTCTGATCCGCATAGTAGCTGTGACTTTACATTGGAGTTGAAAATCCGGATCTTATTTTTGATGGTGAGTGCTGTTGACCTCCACACAGACTAAGGGTAATGAAAGCTTGTCTTGCTTTTCCGATTCTGGCTTTGATAATATCGTCAGTTCCGCCTGTAGTTGAAACATTGCTTTCCAGGTAGGTGAAGGTGGTTGTTTCTTTCAGGTTTTTCCCATTTATGCTGACTGTCGTCTGTTGTTGTTGCTGTTAGTGTTGGCCAGGAATCTTCATCACCTCTGTTTTCTCTATGTTCACTTGAAGTCCTATCTTTGATGCTTCTTCTGCCAGCTTGTTGCTTTTCACTTGCATACCTTCCAGTTTGTGGGAAATCAGACATGTATCATCGGCGAAGTCCAGATCCCCAAGTTTTTTGTGTGGGTCCATTTTATGCCTGTTTTATTAAACATTTATTCAGCAAATCGTAGATTGCAGCTGCAATCAAACGTCACAGACCAAACTTATGCATACAGATAGAGAGCGTGGTAAATCTCTCACTCCCATGGTAACCATATCACTTTCATTACACTGTTAAGTCATACACACTAGTGAGCTCAACTCACCAAGCAAGTTTTCAAATTGATGAACTTTGACCTTCTTGAGTTGCCATGTTGACACTGTTCACTAGATTTTTTTTCTGTTTTCTGTCTTCTCTCACCCCCCCCTTTTGTTTTCTTTTTCATAGTTTGACAGTATATAAATTGATGGTGACTTAGATTATAATGCTTATATATTCCAGATGCGTTCACCTTATAATGTCTTCTCTATTACCTTACAAACAATGAAGTATGAAATGTTATTATTTATAACCATTGTAATTTCAGGTAGTTTGCAGCAGCTGATGAGAGTCTGTGAAATAGAATGGTGGTATCATTTTATACTGCAAATCTGGTCTTTCTTTCTCTATCAAAATCTAAAATTTGGTCAGACACATCTGCAGAAAGAAAAGAAACAGTGTAATTATAATTTCAGAGAGAGCAAACAAAAGCGATTTTTTAAAAGATGACTGTTAACGGTTTCCTTTCTCATCATCATAACTATTGCTAAAACGATTGATTGGCCTATGCGTTTCATTTACGAAGTACATGAGTACTGCAGATATTTGATAAATGATTTATACTGTTTCACAAAGTGGTTATGAAATTCTCCTTTTGTATAAATATGCATCCAGTCCTGGGGTTATTAAATGCTTGTAAGTTTGTATATTTTTCAATGATATATGGATAAAACTTGGACACAGTGGTTGTAGAGTATAACCCTAGTATGGATAAAGTTTTATTTTGATGAAATCATACAGAGATGTTATTCAGTAAGTAATATTTACTGATGACAACGTTTCAAACACAATGCATTAACGCTCATAATCATATCAAGGCATTACTCACACAACTTTCACCCTTCATTTATATACATGAGTAAAAAGTGATGATTACACATTTGAACAACATCAGCATAAATTAGAGTACATTCAGAAATAATCATATTGGTGTCATCAGTTAAATACAATCAGATGGGAAATAAGGCGAGAGTTTTACAGTAAAAATAAGTAACCCGTTAAAACACTGTGTGATGTCAACTGAATACATTTTAAGATTATTTACTTATTATCGTCTGATTTGACTGGGGGTAATTATAATATCCTCCATATCCCTGCTGTTTGTGTTGGGTCATTTCTGTTACATGTGTTGGCTATAGACACGATGAACCAGGATTCAGTAGTCAATCTTTCTCTTCCTCTCCACCTATCGATATTACATCTTAGAATTTTAACTCTCTACCATCCTATTGTGTGGTTGTGTGTTAATGTATGCAGTGCAATATAGCTGAGTTCCTCTTTCTAAATGACTTAACATCGTGGGATCAGTCATTCTAGCCTTAGCTAAATTTTTATGTTTTGATAATCTCACTGTATCTAACCTACAAGTTTTGTGTTGGTATGGTATAGACAGTCTGTGCCAAATGAATATGATTCCCATATATTTCCACACATCAAGACTACATTAACAAAAGAATACGATACGATACGAACATGCTATTTGATGTTAGAGACAGAATACTTTTCCCACAGTTATATACACTACATCAACAAAAGAACACTGTACACATTTAAAAATTATATTTCTTGTTGCATGATGTAAACCGAAATCACAGGCTCAGTGAGTGGATCACGAATACAAACTGTAGATATATAAGTGGTTGTATGACTAACGAAATATACATTGGCTTCTGTGTCTTGCCTTCTATTATTAATACAGTTTGACCTATGTACATGAGCTCACAGTCATTGCAAGGTATTTCGCAAATTAAATTATTTTGTGTATTTAGGTCAACCAGGTCGTCTAAACTACAGTTCTTGACTGTGAGTAAGATTTTAAGTTGAAATGACACTTATTTCTGCTTCATTAAAAATCCGACGTAGGGTCTCAGATGTCTCGTCCTTATATGGTAGAATCGAAGATGCCTTATATTATCAGATTGTCAGAACATAAGAATTTAGCTAAGGCTAGAATGACTGATCCAACGAAGATAAGTCATTTAGAAAAAAGATCAGAAATTGCACTACATGGATTAACACTCAACAACACAATAAGGTGGGTGGGACAGAGTCTGAATTTCAAAGAGTAAAATAGGTAGGTGGGGTTAGAGATTGATTGGTAACTGAATCCTGATTCACCAAGTCTACACCCAACACATGCAACAGAAATGACTTAACACAAATACCACAGATATGCATGGAAGATAAATAATGTGTTAAAATGTATTCACATCACATCATAACATTTTAACGACTTAATTATTTTTACTATAAAAACACCTTATTTCGCAGCTAGTTGTATTTTACTGATAGCACCAATGTTATTTCTGAATGTACTCTAATTTATGCTGATGTTGTTCAAATGTGTAATCATCATTTTTTACTCATGTATGTAAATGATGGGTGAAAGTTGTGTGAGTAATGCCTTGATATGATTATGAGCGTTAATGCATTGTGTTTGAAACGTTGTCATCAGTAAATATTACTTACTGCATAACAACACTGAGCCATTTCAGGAATTGGTAGAAGTTGGAATTAATGGTTTGACCTTTTGGATTGGGTCCCAGTGGCTTAATGGTCTATGAGTTCGCTAGTCTTGTAACTGGAATGCCTTGTGTTCGAACCTCAGTGGTTGCGTACTGATGAAGAGTCGCAAGCTAGGCTGACGAAACAACTGTCCGGTACTCCCTCTGGCTGGTTTTCCAATAGTTCTCTAACTGAAGTCAGCTCAGGATGAAGTCCTGTAACCAATTAGTCATTTTTATTCACTAGTATATCATTGTAACTTTTTCAATTTTGCTTGTCAAACAAATATGCCATTTATAATGTCAGTTCTCTGAAATTATTGCAGTTGTTGGAACTTATTTGGTAAACGGATGTTCTTTTCAAGTTAAAAAGAGTTTTTAATTCAGTCTTTGGAATAATTTCACATGCATATTTATAGGAAATTAATACTGTCTGTGACGAAATACATATCATCTATAAATTATTAATTTTTTTTTTTTCAAAATTAAAAATCTTGTAGGTCTTCAAATAAGTGAGTACTGTCATTCATGTGTTAGTATTTATGTTTTCATATTAAATGCGGAGTAAACCATGAGAATCGATTGAATCGATTTTCAAAATTTCATTTTGTCATACATGGGATCTCACTTTGCTAACCTAATCGAGTACATTCTTTGTTTCAGTTCATTGAATTGACCTGGAAAATTCAACCTGATAGAAATTGAACAGTTATACATATTTTACATACATACATATTTTGACCATAAATTAATGACTGTCTTTAGTGCGAAATTCAAGAATTTTAAATGACATGTTTTGATAGATCGAAGAATCTGAGTCAGGTTTGACAACACATAGTCCCTGAAGGTGTGTTCACGATGTCGCTACAACAAAAACTAACATTTTAGTGTGTGGTGTTCAAAGGAAGCCGGCATCCAAACCAGTAACAATGTTTCGTGCTCATTTCAGCTTATGAGGAAATTATCAAGTGTTTGATTGCATGGATCTGATTGTCCACACGAATGATCAAGCACTGGCATCACTTAGAGAACCACTGGAAAACCTGGGTCTATTGGATAGCTGTTGCGTGCCAGCTTGGGACTCTTCAGCAGCACACACCCAGGACCTTACGGTTACGAGAACCATTAAGCCACTTAGACCTGGCCCAGTAGTCCAATAGTTCCAGTTTCTGTGAATTCATGAGATACATTTAGCGAAACTTTTAGTCCCAATGGTTCAGTGTGCGTCGGTGGCACAGTGGTTAGGACTCTCGCCCACCATGCACATGGTCCGGGGTTCTAGCCCACGCCGGCGCACACCTGATATCTATGGTCGGCCTGCAAAATTTGGGCTACCGATATCCATGCTGAAAATTCCATACTTCTACCGAAAAATACAGTGTGGAATCAAGCTGTAAATCAAAAATCAAAAAAAAGTTTGCCTCACAGCCTTAAGGTTCTAGGTTCGTGTCCCGGTGTGTGCGTGCTGCTAAAATGTCCCAAAACAGTACGAAACCACCTTGCAGTAGTTGGTTTTCAGTGGCTGTGCGATTGATATCCACGCGTGATCAATGATAACGAAGTCTAAGCACTGCCCAGTCAGTCTATAGATTGCAGGTAAATGCACGTCAGTAGTAATGTGTCTGACTGGAGCAGTAGGTCTGCTTAGGTTGTAATATCCATCAGGACATGACACTCTTAAAGTTCTTACATACAGACTGATAAAAAGCACAAATACACACGATAGATACACCCAGCTTTTCTTGTGTTAGTGCGACGAGACATTTGTTCCTTTGTTTCTAGATTTACACTGTCCCCTGAACTGATGTCAGGCAGTGATAAGGTCTACTTTGAAATCGTATTTTTCTCCAAGAATCTAACAACACATGTAACAACTAATTGTTATTATTTCAGCCCACTCCGTCTACACTGGTTTATAGCTATCACAGTTATATTTATGCGAAAAATATAACAGTCTGATTACAAATTAGGTGAAGAAGACGAATAACTTTTAGCCTTGATGAACTGAATCGATATTTCTATAGTTACCACTGAACAAGAAGAATGACAAAAGATGGTTTGAAAAGAATAGAAAATAGTTTTGGGTTTTAGATCTTTTCTGCTATAAAATAGTACGATGGGTATTGTTGAATGAAGGAATACGTTTTGAACTTTTTAGGTCAAGATATATGGGGAAGAAATGTTTTACAAACTTTCCGTCAAGAAGACATCTAATTCGTTATTCACTGCCATTAGCATCTTCACTTCTTGAGAATGATGCTACATGACGAGTCCCAAATAGGGACTGGATTCCACTGCTAGTCACCATCCATGAATAAAATGCCACATGAAGTGGTTTCAAAGCATTAATAAGAGACACAGAAACTACTCACAATAAAATGTTTTAATATCTCCATTTTCAGCTAAACAACGCAAGTTACATATATAAATATATATATATATCAACACTATAACTGTAGAACGTGTAAATTTCTAAACAATTCTCAAACTATGAATTTGATTTATGGTAAGACCAGTTCGCAGAAGTAGCTTGCCAGAAACCGGGTGGTTTGAACTGATTCAGCTGTCTGAGATGAGTCAAGCGGGGTACACAGCTGGTGAGCTCAACACCGAATGAGGGAAACGGCTGTCCACAGGTGCTTAGATCGCCTCGATATGACTAACAATTACTGCTAGTTTATGCAACGTGTATGCAACTACTCATCCCAGTGAATCGGTAGTATATATAAATTATTTGTATTTTCTTAATAGTAATAAATAGAACTAAAGGTTTCCAGTTATGTATCTGTACTTTCATTTGAAAAGTGTTTGCTGAATCCCACAAGTATTTACTATTTGTTAGGTATGTTTGATATGTGAATTAGTTGGTGATTTATCTCAAATTTCTATCACAGTGGATTTATCTTCGGGATGGCTAAAAGTTCACATTTTCAATGGTGGTGGCAATTCATTTCACTTATGAATTAAAAAGTCAGGAAGGGGAGCTTCCAATGTTAGATTGCAACGTAAGAAGGAAAGAAGATGGGAAGTTAAACACTAGCGTTTACAGGAAACCCACACATTCAAACAGATATTTGGACTTCCGATCACCCCATCCTATTTCAGTAAAAATAGGTTTGGTGAAATGTTTAAATGACAGAGCACAAAAACTAAGTAGTACCAAGGGAAATCTAAGACAGAAAGTGAGGCGTATAAGAGAAGCCTTGAAACTTAATAATTACCCGGATAAATTAGTTAGGAAATATGTAGGTAAATGTAAAAAATAAAGTGAATAATAGTAGTAGTGGTAGTGATAATAATGATAATAATATTGATGACGACATACATGTCAAACATGCGCAAGGCAACACCAACAATGAGGAATCCAAATCATCAGTAGTAACTCCATACAAGGAAGGAATCTTGGAAACCTCCGAAATGGAGAATTCTTAACAGTGCATGCAGGAATGTAAGTGTCTGGCATTCAAACCCACAAACGCAATTATTAACATGCTTTGTCAGTTAAAAGATCTTGTGGAGCCTTTAAAAGAAAGCAATTTAGTTTATCTAATGCATTGCCTGCTGGAATAAGTGTCATATCAGATACATAGGTCAAAGTGGTAGAACAAGGGCAGTCAGACTAGCTGAGCATAAAAATCCAGCAAAATCTAGATTGGTTGACCCGAATAAGATAAGAAATCTAGAGAATAGTTCAACTATGCCACTCACTACATGCAATTAGAAACAACCATACAACTGGATGGGATAGAATAAGATGATAGTTTTAAAATGTTATGTAACAGGGTGAAGGGAAGGATTGATAAGAAAAACTTTGTTTATCGAATCAACTGCAAATACATGTAGCAGGAATGGTTCAACACCTGTCCCAGATATCTGAAAAGTTCTAATACCCCAACGACGACTTTTAGGAGAGAACAAAGAAAGTTATGGATCTCAATTTTCGAAATTGTGTTATCATAGCTGATCTGCTTACGAAAAATAAATTGTGTTCGAAATGAAATGCAGCAAATAATACAGTTTCATCATTACTGGCATTTATCTAATAAACAAACTAATATGTAATTAGTACAACATAGTTTAATAGCTTTGACGATAACAGTGTATTCAGTGATGGGGTGCTTTCAAATCATTTATTTTCAGCTGTCCTACTGAGTGACCGAATTTCAAAGCAGAACCCTGCACAGAGCTGCAAAAGTTCAGGTTCCCACACTGCATACAGCATACAAAGAATCCAAAAAAACTCAAAATGAAATCTACTTGCGTCGGTGACCAAGTGGTTAGGACTCTCGCGGACCATGGACATGGTCCGGGGTTCGATCGGCTGCCGACGCAAACCCGATATCTATGGTCAGCCTGCAAAACTTGGGCTACCGATATCATATGCTGAAAATTCCATACTTGTACAGAAAATACGGTGTGGAATCAAGCTGAAATCAAAATAAAATAAAAAATAATAAAAAATAATAGTTAATAGTTATTATTTAAACTCAGTCCATTTCAAATAATAGACCGAGTCAATATGACGAAAGACGATAAGAAGTGCTTATGATTAAATTTGTCAACAGAGGTCAGGGTTTTAGGGTTTACAGCCTTTTTTCCACTTAACAGTGTGACAGCATTTTTTAAACCACATAACTAATGTAGACTAATATTCAATATACTGCAAACACGATTGTCTCTTACTTGTCATCTGTGGAGATGTGCATCTTCATTTGTTGTAAGTGGCGTCTTAGGAGGCAGATTTGAGTTAAATAAACAGTCAGTGGACTTATTCACAATAAGATATTTTAATATCTGCATTTTCAGGGCAAAAAAGCAAGTTCTTTGTGTATTATAATGTTATTTGTGATAAATTGTACCTATGGATTCTTGTAATGATTCTATGATCTCCTTTTATAAACGCAGTTCCTAAAACCAAAGAAAATTTGAGATTATGATGGGTTTACTTATGATAGGAGTGAAGATTAGTTGATACTTGAGGAAAAATGTACAGGTTGTGTGATAACAGAGGTGTAATTCCAAATTCCCGTTTACGCAGTCACAAAAAAACAACAACAGATTAGCAGAAGAAATATGCATTCATTTTCAATGACTTCCTCATCATCGCCTCTACACTAATATATAAAGCCATACACAGCTCATTTCTAGTTCATCTAGTCTATAATTGACGCCAGGTCGTCTTAAACAAAGCTTTTAATGTTATTTAGCGTATTTCACTCAACCTTTCGTCACATGATCTACCTATAGCGACTTTTACAGACAGCAGAGGCAATCGAAATTCATCTAACAAGCCAAATCTGTGCGTCAGTTCAAAAAGAAATTTATACAATCCCTTTCTTTGTCACGGTCAACTGCATAATGTGTATTAGGCTTTTAAAAATGATATTTTCTTGTCCCTTTGTTACTATATTTGACTTTGTTAATTTTTACAATTTTTTATAGCTAATTCTATTAACTTGTTTGTAATTTACGCAATTCTTCTGAGTTATTCTATTCTTCTTAGCCGTCATCGCTGTTTTACAGATTTTTTTTTATTATGAATTAACTTGTTGTTGATGCTTAGGAATTGACCAATTTTTAGTTCTATAACTAATCAGTTTTCCCCCCTTCTTTCTTCAAAACTTAGATATCTTGTTACTAACATCTAGTGGTTATTCGATGTTTTGATGAATTTTAACCTTTTGATTTGAGTTGGCTTACAGGGCTCAAGTGGTCTAGTGGATGACGCTTTGGCGTTCGAAACTATGGGCACTGGGCTCGAGTTCCGGCGAGAACATCACCACCCACTGAGAAATCCAGGTACATCCAGATGACTAGCCCTGAATAGGACGCTATTCGCATTATCCTGGATTCCTTTGGTAGTCACCATCCACCAGTTAACTTCTAATTACATGCCCTGCCATCGTCAAAGCATCTGCACAAGATGCCGACATGTCAACCTGAGACCAAGCACTTCGGTCTAATCAATCGATAGGAAAATCTAAATTTCAATTAGGCATGATTACAGTTTTCGGAAATATCTTTGAGAATAATGTTACCACAAATATGGAATCAGTTTAGTGTAAATACTGAATGACTACATTATATTGAAGGGGTTTTCACTTAATTTAGTAGTTCTGTCGTTGGAGAGTGCATAATTCATAGATTTATATCGTACACTTTGAAATTTATACGCAGATGTGGACTGTAAGACTTTCTTTTCATAAACTCACTCATTTTTATTCACATTGCCTGATGGAATAATTTAGGAAAGCGAATATTACAATGAATATATAATACAGGAATAAACTACAAAATACTGCTAGGAAAAAATGGAAGCTTGAGTGACAGGGCTGGATTTGGTTTCACACCTCTTCTGAATCTGTCACCAGTATGTTATGATCCTGTCGCCATTCGACATGAACTGCTATCGAATGATATGACTGACTGGATTTAAACTTAGATATTTTAACACTGACATATTGGGCAACTCAAGCTTATTTGTGCGTCAGCGGCACAGCGGTTAGGACTCTTCCCGACCATGCATATGGTCTAGGGTTCGATCCCCGATATCGATTGGTCGGCCTGTAAAATTTGGGCTACTGATTTAAAATGCTGAAAATTTCTTACTTGTACCAAACATATGGCCTGTAATCAAGCTATAATCAAAAAAGGGTTATTTGTCCCTAAGTACTTTTCGATTGACTGAGCCAAGTAAATATCAAAGAACAAGGACTAGTGTGTGACTATTATCATAACTGACCTTATTAAGAAAAATACACCTTATATATTTCATAAGGCATTAGAAATTGGCTAGGACAGTGTAAAATAGATTGTTTTGGATGATAAGCGAATCGGCTAGGTCTACAGAAAATAATATTCTGATTAGCTAGCAATTTGCCCAGGACTAAGATAAGAGAAAAACGACGAAATTTTACAGTCATTCAATCACAAAATGAATTCTGCAACCACTGGTCCAAGTTTAGTTTTATTCCTTTACGTTCCCAGTGGAACACAGGCATTCAAGCTATAGGTTTGAAGTTTCGGTAGCAGTGGTGTTTAGGTTTACGGTATGGGACTGCTACCCCATCCTCAAACGTCCCTCTTTACCAGTCTAATTAATGGCTTAGCGAGGAAAAGGAGTGTGTCGGCCAATCACATGTGTGGTTGGCGAGTATCCTACCGTTGTGCCACTGATGCACTGGTTCGAATATTGGCTGCTTTTTTGGCCGCTTTCTGACAATACTCTGGCATGTAATTTCCTTAGTTTGGTGATCATGCATATCAGTGTGAAACGAAATTGTAAGGTGTGTTATTTGCTAACTCGAATTAAGAAATGATGAACGTATCGTCAAGTAAAGGATTTTGTGACAGTGAGATACAAACACGATTCAAGGAATGCAATTAAGAATAGCTGGGGTTCACCGATCAGAAGACTTTCAGCAGATGAGTCAAGCATTCCTAAAAGATGAGGGATGGATAAAGCTTGAGTGTATATTATACCCGACGAAGTAAACGGGATGTCGTAACACACTAGCGGTTTTCCAAGGAAATTCTGAATAATTTAATTGACAAAAATGTTTACCGAGTCACTCATGAATTATCAGTTTCCCGTTTTGTGACTGGTAGTAAATTCTTACTACACTTTGAATGCCTATTCCACATCACTCCGCACTCGTTTGTTCTCCACCTTAACTTTTGAAAGTGAACTTTTATTATCAAGAGTTAGTTTGGAGGGATTTAATTTGTTCCAAGTTTGACCCCGAAATGATATGAGTAAGAGAACCATTGAAAGCTACTAAGGAGCACTGGACTTTTATTTCCTTCTAGTCTGAGACTTATCAGAAGTACGCATCCACCGTCAAGGTTTGAACACAGGACCTCGTGGTTACATGGTCAGTGAGCTCCTAGACCATTAAGACACTGGAATCCAATCCAGTGGTCTATGAACTCTAACTTCTAAATGGTTGCGCTATGTTGTGAAATAGCAGAGTGATTAGGTCCCAATGGATTAACGGTCTACGAATTCGCTAGGCAGGACCTCTGTTCGAACCCTGTCAGTGGTGTGGGTGCGTACTGCTGAGGAGTCGCAAACTAGGCTGACAAAATAGTTGGCTGTCCAGTACTCCCTGTGGCTGGTTTTCCAATGGTTCCCTAAGCGATGTCAGCTCAGGATGAAATCTTTCAAATAAATAAACGTTTATCGTTAAATATTAATCTTTGAATCAAATAGTGTCGTTAAGCTCTTGTTCTGCATTTGATTAATTTGTAAATATTAGACTTCGTGAGTAAGTTTCGAAAAATGTTCTCCTTTGCATTTTTCTTATATAAAGCAACTTTATTATTCAAGATATACGATCAGTAGTTGTACTGTGTAGCAGCAAATGATATTTGAGGATATTTCTTTATTGGGCAAAGTTAAATTTTAGGCACCACTGACTCCCAATCAGCGAACGACCTTGAACGCACCAATCACAATAGGGAGGTATTTTTGTGCATGGAAAACAAATATTTATGAAAAGATGCATAAAAACTGCAGAAAAGTGTTACGGAAGATACCTTTCTCCCCCCCACGTGATCAAAAAAGCTCTCAGTTTTGGGTTGTAGTATGAACAGAGTATAATTTCATTGTGTGGAAAATTTATTTTCTATTCTTATACCAACAGAGTAATTTAACCACATCCTGTGCATGTAATTATTGAGATCTTTTAAATTTAACAATGACGCTAATTTTTCCCGAACCAAACCCCAACGTGAAAATACCCTTAATTAACTTAATCTAACTCAAACCCACCCCTAAGTTAACCTGACCCTAAGTTGTCCTTGGCCTAAAGCTTAACTTCATCTTCCTCAAACCTAGGCTGAAACTCTCCATATATCCCATTTAATAACTTATACTTCTATGAGCATATTTTATTGATGGTGACTACAATATATGCCAGGTTTCACTGACTTGCCCAGCGAGCGTTTCAGGGTCATTACTGCGGTCGCACTCCATTGATAGTCAGTGGTGCTTGAAGCTTAACTTGGCCCTCGATTGAATATCTAAGGAGGAATTCTTGCATGATTCTAACACTGACTGTCGATGATGAAAATTATTATATTGTGTTAAGTGGTTAACTCAAACTATAGCCCAATGAAAAAAAAAATAACGCAATGATTCTTTGTCGCAAGCTCTTCTTATAAATACGTAAAACCTTTGTTCACTGTCATTAGTAGCTGATGTCCAGTTACCAGAGGTCTAGTGACACCCTTATTTAAAAATGTGACACCTATATTTTTGAAAGTTTTTATGTGTGCGAAGGTCTTCTGTTTTGACAACTCGTGTAATACACATATTCATAGAACAATATGGTAAGCTGTTTCTTTCTGCACAAAATTGGTAAATTTCATTCATTTAAGCCTTTACGATTGTATTCAGTGGAATTCATTTAATTTTTATTCTGGTTAGTTGACCTTATGATCCTTATGAATAACAAAAATATATAAGTGGTATAAAAGTTTCTCCGAAAATGACAAGTCGTCCATAAGCTTCCTTAGATCACTTTTAAGTTGATCTGTGGAAGTTATCTTAATTTAATTATCACAATGTCCATGTGTGTCAGTGGCTCAGCGTTAGAATGCATGTCAACCATTCACGTGGTCTAGGGTTCGATTCTCGGTCGGCCCACACATTTATCTCGCCTAGTCGAGAAAGAGAAAATGTTGGGTGTGAGGCTAGCAACCCCATCCTATAAACAAAAAACACCACTGCTAATAAGACTTCAAGCCCAAGCCTGAATCCCTATATCCCAGTCGAAACTCGAAGGAGGAAAAAGAACAGTGTTCAAGTTTCATTCTGATATCAGTTTTCTTAATTTAAATGTAAGCTGAGTGCATGTTTACTCTTAAACAGTAAGCCATCGAATTTCTAAGTATTTGAAATGCATAGATGAAGATTGGAAGAACTCATTGCTTTTTCCAAAAGAAAATTGTTAACAGTAATCTTAAGCAATCAAAATTTCTAATTTGTGTTATCATGAATATGGCTTGTCATTCAATGAGCATCATTACGTGCTCGTTCACTGGCTTTACAGTCCCATTTATTATTGAATTTATTCACACTTTATAATAAATACTGGTCTTCATCTATGCAGATTGTTGTTTCTTGATTTCGGAGTTGGTTTTTCAACTCTAAAGATATTGGATGACTTGTGTGTATAACCTTTAAACGGCGTAGAATTAGTCGTAACATCTGATTTAAATTTCGACACCTATTTTTTTTTACTGAAAACAATAATTAAAACAATTAGTCTCTCTGATAAATTTGAATAACTCATGGAAAATTCCCATTGTAACATTTAGAAAATCAAAACAAGTGATTCAGCGAAGAGACTCTTTTCAACGAATTTATCATCAAGCTGTACAGTCGTATATATATGGTTTATCAGAAGTTATATCCGGTGAGGGAATTGAATCTTAGGTGTGAATACATAAAATAATAATAATAATAATCATATGAAGTTCAATTAAAACTAAAATGTTTGTGATTATAATCGTAGTTAAATGTCAAGTGGCAAAGCAGATTAATGTCATATATAGAATAATTCATAGGAGGGATAGAACTTGAAAAAGGATGTGCAATTATAGGATTAGTAGGCAAATCGAATAAAACAAAAACGTTACGTAATATTGTGTGAAATTTAATAGCATAGAATTTATCGTTGTAAAAAAGAATTGATTTAGAATGACAAGTGGAACAAGTGAAATAATACCGGGGACAGTTCAAAGTGAGAATAGTAATAATAACAATTGACTTAATAAGGAAAAGTATACAAATTGAATAGACAAAATGAAAAATGAAAAATTGGTAGAGCTAAAATATGATTGGGGATTACCATATTTTAGCATAGAGGGATTAAGACCATGAAAGTTGGAGGGGTTGAACGAACTTTTTCTGTACACAGAGATCTGGCTTTTCTGTTTCGATAGCCAAAGCTTCAGCAATACAGATGAGTCGGGTACGTAGGGATTTAGGTAGATTGCTCTTTGCCTTGTAGATGACTTTAAAGGCGGAGGCTATAGAGATAGGGTGATCATTTTCGACCAGATGTTCTATGATCGCGCTTCTTATTGCTCCACTTCCACCTTTTCGTAGCCATGCAGGATAATGTTCTTGCACCCTCTTGGACAAAACTCGAGTCGAACGACCGATATACCTAGCTCCACAAGAGCAGGTGAATTGATAAACGCACATAGAGTTGGTCAACATTGGGATCTTGTCCTTCAGGTTATTGAACAATAATGGTCGGCTAGTAAAAGCTATTCTCAGGGAGGCAGCAGGGAATGTTCTTTTCAGGGACTGTGATATCCTTCGTTTCATGATATCGGAAGCTAAGTCCCCTTTGAATTCTAAGCTCATGTAAAGTATTTTCTTGGGAGCGGTTGATAAGTCACGTTTTGTAGGCTTTGAATGTATATTCTTATCTATAAAACGTGGTGGAAATCCATTTTCCATTAGGATTTTCCTCAAAGTGTATAACTCATCTTCCACAGTATCAGTGCTACATATGCGCCGAATACGAGTGGCAAGCGACCGGACCAGGTTTCGTTTACGACCAATAGGTACCCAGCTATAGAAATTTGTCAGTTGACCATTCCATAACAGCCTACGATAAATCGATCTCTTCAGAGTTCCATCGGTCCTTCTTGATAAGTTCACATCGAGGAAATGAATGCTAGACTCGTTCTCCATTTCGAGTGTGAATTTTATCGCAGGATGGCACTCATTAAATACACTTAATATATTATTCAGGTTACAATCAATATTACAAATAATAAAGGTGTCATCTACATACCTTTTATATATTTGAAAGCTTTGGATCATAGGCTTCAGGGAACCATTTTCTAGACTGGACATAAAAACGTCTGCAAGGAGAGGACCCAAGGGAGAACCCATCGCAATACCATCCTTCTGCCTGTAGATTGTTTCATTGAAAGTAAACTGTACATTCAATGTACATCTCAAAAGTAGTTCTTTAAGATCTGTAGTAGGTATCCCTATGTTCAATTTGTTGTCTTCAATATATTTGCATATAAAACATATGGTCTCTGTCAGTGGAACGTTCGTAAATAAGGATTCTACATCCAAAGACAACATTTGTTTATTCGACGCATTTATATCCTGTATACATTCAACAAATTGGAAGGTGTCCCGAAGGGAATGATTAGATAGTTGCCCCCTGACTGGTTCGAGGATTTCAGCTAACCACCCAGCTACTGGATGATAGGGCGATCCAGACATATCCAAGATAGGGCGAAGTGGAACTCCAGCTTTGTGTATTTTCGGTAGACCATACAGTCTTGGTATTAGAGATCCTGTTGGTCTGATCTTTTCGTATAATTCTTCACGAATGAGATGATTGTTCTTCATTCTCTTTAAAGTATCAGTAAGTTGTTTCTCAATTAATTCCGTCTTGTTTTTCTCGTTCGGTTTCGAGAATTTACTGCTGTCTGAAAGTAGACATGACATTTTATCGATATAATCTTTTCGATCCATAATAACAACACCTGTACCCTTGTCAGGGCGTGTTAATAGTATATCGCTGTTATGCGTCAAAAGCTTAAGTTCTTCTTTGTGCTGTTTAGTAAGAAGACTTTGCATTTTTGATCTAGCATTAAGGTATTGATTGCAGGAGTCCGTAATGGTAGATTTGAAGCATTGGAAATCCTGGTCTGACGATGGTGTGAGATCATAGGTTTGACTGAGTAAATTCTCAAACTGGACATGAGTATGTAGCTTGTTGATATTGAGATTAACATCGCAAAACTTCGAGCCCATAGACAAGGCTTCCATTTGTAATTTCGATAAAGATATAGAGGAGTGGTTGAACACGTATCTCTCCGAATTCTCAGGAAATTTTCGAAGACGTTCGATAGGTTTTAGGCTATTAGATAGCTTCGAATTAAAAGACATAGTTTGTTTGTTGGTGACCACATTGACATAATCATTAAACGTCTGACGTTCATCAACCGATAAGTCATATAGAGCAGAAGATCTTTGTGATATATTCCTTTCTAGCTCAGGGATACGTGAACTGATAGAATCAATGTGATTCAATGCGTGTCTCTTGAGAGATTTTGCATTAGGATATATGTGATTGCGTCGGAGCACTTTCCAATACCATTTCGGATACTCATGATTATTGATGCATTCATTAAGAAAACAAATCTCTGCATTCACCACGGCAAGTTTGACAGAATAACGCAGGAACCCGTTGAGTTCCTTTACTGTCAAGGGATCTTTGCTATTTTTTAACTCATGGAAAATTCCCATTGTAACATTTAGAAAATCAAAACAAGTGATTCAGCGAAGAGACTCTTTTCAACGAATTTATCATCAAGCTGTACAGTCGTATATATATGGTTTATCAGAAGTTATATCCGGTGAGGGAATTGAATCTTAGGTGTGAATACATAAAATAATAATAATAATCATATGAAGTTCAATTAAAACTAAAATGTTTGTGATTATAATCGTAGTTAAATGTCAAGTGGCAAAGCAGATTAATGTCATATATAGAATAATTCATAGGAGGGATAGAACTTGAAAAAGGATGTGCAATTATAGGATTAGTAGGCAAATCGAATAAAACAAAAACGTTACGTAATATTGTGTGAAATTTAATAGCATAGAATTTATCGTTGTAAAAAAGAATTGATTTAGAATGACAAGTGGAACAAGTGAAATAATACCGGGGACAGTTCAAAGTGAGAATAGTAATAATAACAATTGACTTAATAAGGAAAAGTATACAAATTGAATAGACAAAATGAAAAATGAAAAATTGGTAGAGCTAAAATATGATTGGGGATTACCATATTTTAGCATAGAGGGATTAAGACCATGAAAGTTGGAGGGGTTGAACGAACTTTTTCTGTACACAGAGATCTGGCTTTTCTGTTTCGATAGCCAAAGCTTCAGCAATACAGATGAGTCGGGTACGTAGGGATTTAGGTAGATTGCTCTTTGCCTTGTAGATGACTTTAAAGGCGGAGGCTATAGAGATAGGGTGATCATTTTCGACCAGATGTTCTATGATCGCGCTTCTTATTGCTCCACTTCCACCTTTTCGTAGCCATGCAGGATAATGTTCTTGCACCCTCTTGGACAAAACTCGAGTCGAACGACCGATATACCTAGCTCCACAAGAGCAGGTGAATTGATAAACGCACATAGAGTTGGTCAACATTGGGATCTTGTCCTTCAGGTTATTGAACAATAATGGTCGGCTAGTAAAAGCTATTCTCAGGGAGGCAGCAGGGAATGTTCTTTTCAGGGACTGTGATATCCTTCGTTTCATGATATCGGAAGCTAAGTCCCCTTTGAATTCTAAGCTCATGTAAAGTATTTTCTTGGGAGCGGTTGATAAGTCACGTTTTGTAGGCTTTGAATGTATATTCTTATCTATAAAACGTGGTGGAAATCCATTTTCCATTAGGATTTTCCTCAAAGTGTATAACTCATCTTCCACAGTATCAGTGCTACATATGCGCCGAATACGAGTGGCAAGCGACCGGACCAGGTTTCGTTTACGACCAATAGGTACCCAGCTATAGAAATTTGTCAGTTGACCATTCCATAACAGCCTACGATAAATCGATCTCTTCAGAGTTCCATCGGTCCTTCTTGATAAGTTCACATCGAGGAAATGAATGCTAGACTCGTTCTCCATTTCGAGTGTGAATTTTATCGCAGGATGGCAATCATTAAATACACTTAATATATTATTCAGGTCACAATCAATATTACAAATAATAAAGGTGTCATCTACATACCTTTTATATATTTGAAAGCTTTGGATCATAGGCTTCAGGGAACCATTTTCTAGACTGGACATAAAAACGTCTGCAAGGAGAGGACCCAAGGGAGAACCCATCGCAATACCATCCTTCTGCCTGTAGATTGTTTCATTGAAAGTAAACTGTACATTCAATGTACATCTCAAAAGTAGTTCTTTAAGATCTGTAGTAGGTATCCCTATGTTCAATTTGTTGTCTTCAATATATTTGCATATAAAACATATGGTCTCTGTCAGTGGAACGTTCGTAAATAAGGATTCTACATCCAAAGACAACATTTGTTTATTCGACGCATTTATATCCTGTATACATTCAACAAATTGGAAGGTGTCCCGAAGGGAATGATTAGATAGTTGCCCCCTGACTGGTTCGAGGATTTCAGCTAACCACCCAGCTACTGGATGATAGGGCGATCCAGACATATCCAAGATAGGGCGAAGTGGAACTCCAGCTTTGTGTATTTTCGGTAGACCATACAGTCTTGGTATTAGAGATCCTGTCGGTCTGATCTTTTCGTATAATTCTTCACGAATGAGATGATTGTTCTTCATTCTCTTTAACGTATCAGTA